GAAGTGCGTGTAAAAAAAGAGCCAAAGACATGACTGATCGCCCAATTCAAATTATACGTTTTGAAATTACAAAGAATAATTTTTACACGTTAGATTACGGTGACGTTAAATTAATTCGTGACAGAATGTACCCGTGTAGAAACATACAAACAAATATTCCAAAAAACATTGTTGAAGTTCAAGAATTTTTAGTATCAAAAAATATATTATCATCTAAAGGAGATTGTTGCAGTAAATGATATAGAAAAAAATATTGTGATTTTTACCTGTACCACAAATTTGCAATTTTTAAATTCGGTTAATACTATATACGTTGATGGTACATTTACTTATTTCACACAATATTTTTGTCAACTTTTTACAATTCAAGGATTTTATAATAATCCTTACATACCTCTGGTGTTTTGTTTGTTACCATAAAAATGTGGTGAAGTCTATGAGTATGTATTCGAAAATATTAAGCGTTTATGTTCAAATTTAAACTATGAGTTTTGTCCTGTTAAATTATATTCTGATTTTGAAAAAAGCATTTTAAACTCTGCATCTAATATTTGGCCTGAAATAAAACTTTCCACCTGTAGATTTCACTTGGGGCAATGTTGGTTCAGAAAAATTCAAAGTCTTGGATTAACAAATATGTACAAATCTAATAGTCCAGAAGGAAAATGGTTACAATATTGTTTCGGTCTTTCATTTTTACACCCACAAGAAGTATCAGATTGCTTTTTAGAACTTATGTCTGAAATTCCAGTAGAAAAAAAAATACAATCATTTGCTGATTATTTAGTTGACAATTTTATAAGCGAAGATAGTCTATTCCCTCCTGAATTATGGGCAAAAGGTTGTAATAATGTAACACAGACAACAAACGCATGTGAATCATTTCATAAAAATTATAATTCATATTTTTTTAACGCTCATCAATCAATCATAAAATTTGTGGAAGTTTTAATAGAATTTCAAACAGATACATATTTAAAAATAAATCTTGCTAGAACAACAATAAAACAAACAAAAAATAAAGCAGTTACAAAAAAACACCAGGATATTAACAATTTAAGAGATACATCAATATCACCAATTAATTTCATAAAAAATATAAGTAACAAAGTCAAAGTAACGCGAAAAATTTTAATTTTAATTTATTAAAAATATAATAGGTACAATACAAAATAATTACGACGCAACAAAACAGTAAAGAAACATTTTTAACCACACCAGAATAATCCAATAAATTTTATTCTGTCAGTTCGAAGTCTGAAAAAAGTGGGACGAGAAAATTAAGTTTTACTGCAATGTTGCCAAATTTATTGATTTGTAACGTAAATGGGCGCAAACAAGTATTTTATAACTTATTTTAATTTTATTAAGCGCAATCGAGGTCTTTGCATGTAGGCGCAAATACGGTATTTGGGCGCAAAAATGGCCCTCCCAAATGTTTTACCTTGTTCAATATGGAAAATGACGTTAAGTGTAGATAATATTATAAAAAAATATAACAACGTTTTTAAAGATGAAATAGGTACTTTTAACAAATACGAAATTTCATTAAATATCAAAGCTGGGGCGGTACCTACATTTTGCAAACCTAGGTCTATCCCTTTAACATTAAAAGAAAAAGTTGAAACCGAAATTTATCGTTTAATTAAAAGCAATATTTTAGTTCCTATCGACTATAGTGAATGGGCAACTCCAATAGTACCAATATTGAAACCAGATGGCACGGTTAGAATTTGTGGTGATTTTAAAATAACAATAAATTCGGTATTAGAAGGGACTGAATACTCTCTTCCAAAAATAGAAAATTTATATGCAAATGTTAGTGGTTCAAGATATTTTTCGAAAATAGACTTAAAAGACGCATATCAACAAATGGTTATTAAAGAATCTGATCGCAAATATACCACTATTAATACACATAAAGGTTTATTTAACTATACCCGTAACCCTTTTGTAATAAAATCGTCGGCAGGGGAGTTCCAAAAAGCTATGGAAACTTCCACAGCGGGTCTTGAGGGCATTGGTATATTCCAAGATGACATTATTGTTGCAGGTTCCACTATCACAGAACACAACTCTCGTTTAGAAAAATTAATAAATGTATTATCAAATTTTGGTTTAACCCTTCAATGCGCGATTTTTTGAATTAAAAAAAAAAAAATTGTATTATATGTATTTTTAGACGTAGATAACAGAAAAAATACCTAAAAAATTCTAATTATTATATTTTCCTGAAAAACCAAGATTTTCAGATTGTTGCAAATATGCAACATCGCGCATTAATAAATAGTTAAATAACAATATTTGAAATGTTAACAAAATCATACTTTATTTATGTTTTTCTTTTACATTAAATAGGTAGGTACTAAACTAACACATTTTATTTATTTACTATTGAAACCTTATCATAGTATCACTTTTCTTAAAATTATTATATTTTATAGGTAATTTTAGATTATTAATTATATAATATGATAGCTACATTTTTAATATTTATTTTATGTGATAATTGGTAAAACAAACACCTTTTGATTTTACGCATAAATAAACTTTACATTTACAACACTGATAATTTGTATAGCCTTTACAATTTGGAAACTTGCAACGTCCTTTTTTTTCGTTATAATTTATAAAATGTCCTATGTTGTCAGTTCTTATATCTTGAGTGGGCCTTGGGGTCGGTCTAGTTCTGTTTTGTTTTTTAATGTTACTCTCTAATGACGGACGGCCTCTAGTTGGTGTTTGCACAATACCTGTTTTCGTAAGAGTGAACGCTAAACTTTTTCGCCAATCGGCTAATGTATATTTGCTAGGTTTTCCAAGCTGGGTTTGCGATCTTTTATATAGGAGCCATGAATTTACAATAGATGTGTCAATCAAATGGTAAAAAATTCGCATATACCACTTTCTTGATCTCATACGAGTTTTATATCGCCCAATAAGACTATCTAAAAGATCGACTCCTCCCATCAATCTATTATATTCTTTGATTACGGTGGGACAATCAATATTAATTTTTTTTTTAAATTTTTTATCAAATCTATTGGTAGTCAGTATTGGTAATGATCCACAATAAGTAGATAATAAATTAACTTGTTTATTGTCTTTCCACGAAGTCACACACATGGGCGTATTTTCAAAAACGGTCAAATATTTATACGATTTTTCGCGTACATCTTTTTTTAATTATTTGGTCGCTAGGTATTTTATTATTGGGTAATCGGTCTTTCCGCACTGTTCCTAGACACAAAATTCCATTTTTGTACAAATCGGCAGCTAATGGAATACTTGTATAGAAATTGTCAAAATATAATATATGATTTTTATGGCGTGGAACATTTCTAGTAAGACGTACAACTATGTTAGAACTAGCACCGAGATCTGGTTCATTTGGCGATCGAAATCGTTGATCATTTTCTTGTCCCGAATAAATTTCAAATTGATATGAAAATCCTTTTGAGTCACACAATACGAAAAATTCAAAACCCCATTTATGAGGTTTTGCAGGCATATACTTCTTTAAATAACTTTTTGCTTTTGTAGCGCAAAGCTGCTCATCAAGTGACAAGTCTCTTGTATAAGGAATCGAGTTAAATTTATTATTTAAATGATCAATAAGAGGCCGAATTTTATATAATCTATCATAATGTATATTATCTTTTTCTAACATTTTGCTATTGTCATTAAAATGAAGAAATCTACGTATTTCTTCGAATCTTTTTTGACTTAAAGAATTATATACATGAGAAAGCCCTAAATGTTCGCCCCAGTAGTCTCGAACATTTGGCACTACACAAACCGAGTTATAAATAAGAATACCAATAAATCTCTTGAGCTCATCTATAGTAACTGAAAAGTTTTTATTGATGTCTACCTGTGCAGCAAAAAGATCACTTTCAGTTTTAATTTTACTTAAAAGTTCGTCATTAAAAAAATATGTAAAAAACTGATAAAGTGTTGTAAGTTCTAAAATACTTTTTGGCAGTAAATTTTCATCGTGGGTGATAAGTTGAGGTTCATAAACTAAGTTACCGTTCTTCCATTTTAATTTTTTAAATTCTTCTGTTTTTTGTTTTTTTGGTGCAGGATTTTGTACAGTTGTTTCTATTAGTTTACGTGAAAATTTAGGACGAAGCGTTTTAGATTTAACCAATTGTATAACAGTAGGACTAGAACTGGTGGTCAAATCATATGTATTACTTTTTTTAGATGTATCTACATAAGTATTGGAAGAAGAGGTACCTGGTTCACAAACGTCTAAACCAGGGATCGGCAACTGGCGGACCGCGGAAGGCAAAACTCTGGACCCTGTCAACACATTGTACTTCATTATGTTATTTTCTGTAATAGTATTATTATTGATAGAGAAATTTATTTTATTTAATTTATCAAACTCAGATTATAGTTATATCATAATTCATTGAAAAATATTTTATCGGGCAGGTAATAATCGGTTTTATTACAATGTTATCGGCCGACGTTACTTTATCGTTGCTATCCATTGAAATAATTTTATTATTTGTCTGTCTCCCGTATTTTCTAAATAACAGTTTAGTTAACGATTTAGTACGTGTACTTTCGCCGGTGAATACAGTGCGTGTTTCGTTTTATATTATTCGTTCAATATGTTGAGTAAAAAACGCAAAATCGACAGCGAAAATAGGAAGTTTATGAACGTGTGGACTGAACTATATTGTTTTGTATTGCCTGAAAGGGTTGGAGCCATTCCAGTCTGTTTAATTTGCAATTCAACTTTTGCTATTATTAAAAGTGGAAATTAAAAACGGCATTATGAAACTACTCATAAAGATTTTCATACAAAATTTCCTCCAGGCAGTGAAGTGCGTAAAAATAAGCTCCATGCATGTATGTTATCTTACAAAAATAGTACGACAACACTTATACGGTGTATGAGTGAACAAGAAAAATCAACTGAAGCAGCGTTGCGTGTGTGCTGGGTTCTTAATAAGCACCAAAAACCGTTTTCCGATTCCGAAATAGTAAAAGAGTGTATGTTGGAAGTGGCCACTGCACTTTTTCAAGAAAATAAAAAAATCGTTACCTCTATCCAAGATATTCCTTTGTCGGCAAGGAGTAACACAAGAAGGACGGTATTGTTGGCAGCCGAAAACAAAAAAAGCTTATTTGAACTTTTACATAAGTCACTGTGCTACTGCATTGCGCTTGATGAATCTTGTGACTTAGTTGATTCTGAATAAATGTCAATTTTTGTGCGATTCTTTGACATTGAAAATAAAGTGTTTAGAGAAGAGTTACTAGCAATATTAACATTTGAAGGCAAGACTCGTGGAGAAGATTTATTTAAAAGTTTTGATAATTTCATGAAAAAATCGGATTTGAGTTATGATAAAATTGTGTCAATTTCCACTGATGGAGCTCCGGCGATGATGGGAAAAGAAAAAAGGATTGTTAAAAAGAATCCGGGATAATAATTCCGGGATATTAACTTATCAATGCATAATTCACCAAACATCGCTTTGTAGTAAACTCAGTGCTACACTGAAAGACGTTATGGACGGTTTGATCAAGTTAATCAATTTTATCAGGTCGCGTTCTTCTCTTCAACACAGACAGTTCAAAGAGTTTCTGTGTCAATGTGATTCGGCTTATTCAGATTTACTACAACACAATCACGTTCGTTGTTTCAATAAAGGTCGAGTAGTTGAACGTTTTTGGAACATTAAAGAAGAAGTAAAAACATTCCTAAAAAATGTAGATACTGAAGAAGCAAAGAAGCATTCGGAGTTCTTAGAAAACAATCGAAATATAGTTGCGATGGCTTTCTTAAATGACATTTTGAAGTATTTAAATACACTTAATGTCGAATTACAAGGAGAAGGGAAATTAATATGTGATTTAATACAAAGTGTGTCTGCTTTCCGTCGCAAACTAAATATATTTGAACGAGACATAGAACAAAAAAAATTTATTCACTTTCCCACAATATTTGAATGCAAAAATTATTCTGAAATTGTAAACATCGAAACTTTTTTAAGTTTTTTGTCAGATCTTATGAAGGAATTCGATGCTAGATTCAAAGACTTTTCTGAAATAGGAAAACTATCACAATTCTTAAAAACCCCTTACGACGTTCTCCCAGACGGAGAATGGACTGATGTAGCTGAAAAATTATTTAATCTTTCAAAGTCAAAACTCCAAATGGAAATAATAGACCTACAGGAAGATGTTTCCTTGAAGCAGTACAGAAGTGCGTCAACTGAAGAATTCTGGGCTAAAGATGCCACTGACAAGTATTCAAACTGTAAGCAACTGGCAATCAACTTGGCTACGATGTTTGGTTCGACATACATTTGTGAGGCATCGTTTTCAAAAATTAATTTTTTGAAAAACAAATATCGGACAAAATTAACAGACTTTCACCTTGAGGACACATTGCGCATAAGCTGTTCTCCACGAGTTCCCGATTTTAAAAAGCTGGCTAAGGAAAAGAAATGCAATTTTTCGTATTAAATAATTTACTGTAATAGGTATATTTTTTTTCATACTTTTAATATTGTAATTTTTAATATAAATTAATTGTAATAACTGAATAATTATTTTTATTTTTATACTGCTATTTTTAAAATATAAAGATTTGAAAAAGATTTTTTTTCACTGGACCTCATTGATTTATTATTTTAATCTTTAGGACTCCAATAGAAATTATTTGCCGACCCCTAATTTAACCATTTGTGCAACCTCACATTATATTTTTTTCATCTTGATTGTTAAAACAGATGTCTTTGAAATAAATACATAAAATATTTATTTAACTGTTTTAATGTAGGTATATACAACTCTTTTAGTGTATACGGTGTCATAGTACCTAAGTTGAATGCGATCATTTTAAATTTATTCTTTGTAAAAAAAAGTTGTAATTCTCTAAGTTGTTATATCTTTGTAATTATCACAAAAAAACAACAAAAAATTATGTTTTCATATAAAGTTTTAATAATATTAACTTTTACAATTAATATAAGCCATGTTTATACTTATACTAAAGAGGAATATCAAAACGGTAACGAATAACAATTAGTTTATAAATATTGTACCTAATTCTAAATAATTGAAAACAATACAAGATTATTGCAATTTTATTATTAAGATCATAGTTATCAATAATTATTTAATTTTCATTAGTTTAAGTTTCATGAACTTATTTTACTTTTTCCGAGGACTATTTACTGACAAAATTTATTACTGATTATTTATCACATCTGGTTTGTTGGTTTTTTTTTAAGATTAAAAGTCTTGATGTAGATTTGAATGGTACTGATTTGTAAATTTAAATTTCCATTTAATGCCTAGTAATGGTTGATCCCACATGAATTATTTAATGGGTTATAAATTTATAAGTTAAATAAAGAACTCTATAAAATAATAATTATGGATCTTTAGATCTAATCTATTATACTTTTTATTTAGTTACAAGTATTTAAATATTTTATCCTCAGATCACACGATGAGTGAGTTAACCTCGGCCTCACGCGTCTTCAAAAATTATGACTGACGTCTTTAGTCTATAACACTATTATTGACGTAGTACCCGTTAAACTTCATAGTATGACTACTATTTTCAAACTCAAAGTCCACTGATCTTTTAAAATTGACTACAACGAATTTGGAAAGCAGATGTTATAAACTTGAAAGTTATAATATAATAATTTATTATACTATAAATAGAAATCCCTCGTTTTGTTTAAACTTTATCATTTCGATTGTTTTTAATTATTATATTTGTTTTTACTGTCATCATGAAATTTTATTATTGTATTAATATATACTAATTATTATTCACACAACCATTACTACCTGTACATTCGATATTTGTATTTGACTTTACCTATTTATATTTAAAGACATATTCTGATATTTTAATATAATTAATTATTATAGTTACTATGTCTATATATTATACATTATTTACTTGTTTATTAATTTAGAATTTAAATTATTTGATTGATTTAATATTTGAGATATTAGGATAGTATTACATACTTGAAAAGTTTGCAATATAGAATTAAAATGCATAATTTCTCAATATAATTCAGTAATATCATCTATTATACAAAGAATCTACACAGTTTTGTTTTTTTTTAATGGTTTAAGAACTTTAAACTCTATGTAGCTACCTAGTGTCTCGCTAACAAGATGATATATATGCAATCCACAACCAATGTAAAAACTGATATTTTGATTTACACACAAATATACTATAAAATTACAGTGACTTATTCAAAGTGTTTGCTATCAATATGGTGTTCACACCCATATACATATAACCACACTTGTATGATATTGTGTACATAAATCAAATATCTAAAATATAAAGTCGTATGCAATTTAACTTAAAAAATAATACGATAAAAGTTTATAGACTTTAACAATTTATTCATTTTAATTACAATCATTGTGAAAGTAAAATCCCACGATACTTAGTGTTTGTTACATCTATAGCATAATATAATAAAATGCTAAATAAATTTTAAATAATTCATAATAATAAACTTATAGAGATTCTATTGTTGTTTTCAAAATTTGCAATAATAGATTTTATGCATCAGTAAATTACGTGTTAATATATTTACAAATTAATAATAGATAAATCATAACTATAATAAAATGGGTTTAGTGTATTATGAACCTAACCAACATACTTTTATAATATTTCTTATCCTATTATTAAAATTTAAGTATTCATATTTATTAAGTAAAAGTATTTTATTTATTTTTAGTATGCGTTGGTAAGATAATTTTATGTCAGTATATTTTTGTTTATACATTTTGCAGTATATTTGTATACTT